TTTTTTTTTTTTAAGATTTTATTTATTTATTTGACAGAGAGAGACACAGCAAGAGAGGGAACACAAGCAGGGCGGAGTGGGAGAGGGAGAAGGAGGCTCCCCGCTGAGCAGGGAGCCCGATGCGGGGCTCGATCCCAGGACCCTGGGATCATGACCTGAGCCGAAGGCAGACGCTTAACGACTGAGCCACCCAGGCGCCCCGTATGTTTTATCATGTTGACCAAATTTTTTCCCCATCCTTTCCTGTTTTTCCTCTTTCACTTCTTCCCTCCTCTTTCATCCAGTATCAGGTGAAGTGCTAGACTCTGGGTATACAAAGATTTACATGAGAGAGAGAAAAGGGAGTGTATGTTCTACTCTCAAGAACCACACAGTCTAACAACAAACAAATAGTAATAGTACAGCATGCTAAGGATTGCACATACAGTGGCATTTAGGTTCAGAAAAGACCTTGATTTCCGTCTAGAAACTCTCTGCTCGTAGCTTTGTGATATTGTACCCTTTGGTTCTCTTCTGGCTTACTCTTTATATACCCTTCCCTTAAATAGGGTAACTTCCAAGAATTTGGTCTTTTGCCCATTTTTATTTTTGCTCTTACCTGCCCATGGATTGTCATATACCTTTATAATATTAACTCTTACCTCTATACACATAATTTCCAAGGCCTACATTTCTAGCATTAATCTCTCACTTCATTTTCAAACCCATACCTCAGACTGATTCCTAGAAATTATAACATGACTATCTTCAGTCATGTTTAACTTTAACCTGTCCAAAGCTGTTTCCCTCTCCAACCACAAATGCACATATGAAAATTATTTGAACAAACAAACAAAATTCGTCCTGTGTTTCCTGTCTCACTGAATAACTTTACTGTTTTCTCTGTTACCTGGTCTCTAGAAGTCTCTGTGTCATTTTTAACTCTAGATTCAACTCATCTTATCTTTTACATAACAGTCATTGAGTTAAGTATATTATGAACAGGATCTAGTTTAATTCTTTTACTATGAGGTAGGTATTGTTTTCTACATTTTTATGCATGAGAAACTTGAGAATCAGAAAGGTCAAGCTGTGTGTCCAAGAGTAATACACAGCGCCCGAGTGGCTGACTTAGGGTCACACTCACCAGGGTGTCTGCAAAGTGTGGTCTTTTGCCCTTTGTATTGTATTGACTCCTCTCACAGTTGGTCTCACTGTGTCTTCTGTACCAATATTAGCACATTTAAAATCCACATTTATACTTTTCTTTTAGTGGCTCTATAATCTACGTGTATTTGTGACTAGGAAGATATTCTTAATGCTGTGGAAGAACTGAATTTTCAGTGAATTAAGCTAAAACAGGGCTCAGCAAACTTTTTCTGTAAAGAACAAGATGCTAAGTGTTTCAGCTCTTTAGCTTTGCCTCCGGTAGAGCAGCCACCACAGACGGTATAGAAATGAACGGGCACTGCTGCATTCCAGCAAAACGTTATTTACAGAAGCAGGACATGGGCAGGTTTGGCCTACCAGTTCTTGGTTACATAGTATTTCATTTCTTCATTTGCGCGTTTAAAATGCATTTATGTATAATCTGAATTGCTCAGGTAAGAGAGAAGTTAGGAGTGATTAAAGAGGTGTAATTTGAATTTAACAGTTGGGAGCTATTGATTGAGAAGCACTTAAGTCGGTCAGAGTTCTGAACTTTGTCCATGGGGAGGTTTATGAGTTTGCTCAAGAGGCATGATCTCTTTGAGTCTTAGTTTCTTTGTAAATGGTAGTTATGAATAATGTTTACCTCCTGACGTTGTTGAAAGTATGAGATGGAAGCCCACTGTGTCAATAGCGCTGTGACTGCCATCGGCAGTGTCATTTTCCTCCGTCTCCTGTGCTTTCCACATGAACTGTTTCTTTTTTTTTATTAAAGATTTTATTTATTTGAGAGAGAAAGAGAGAGAGAGAGAGAAAGAGAGCACAAGCAGGGGGAGTGGCAGAGGCAGAGGGAGAAGCAGGCTTCCCACTGAGCAGGGACCCTGATGTGGGGCTTGATCCCAGGACTCCAGGATCATGACCTGAGCCGAAGGCAGACGCTGACTGAGCCACCCAGGTGCCCGGGACTGTTTCTTATAGAGAAATTTAAGAGACAAAAAGAATGGAATCTCCTTCTCAGATGGAAGTGGGAAAGCTATCATAATCATTATTCTCTCTCTGTAATAGATGACAATAGAAAAAAAAAACCCAAATAATTGTTTTGGGTGGGGAGAAATGGTAGTGGGGAATATATGTCAGCGCTGAGCAGATAAAAAGTCTGGAAAGGAAGACAAGAAAATGAAACTTTTCTCAGTACTCAGTAAGCTGAGGGCGGGATGAGGAGAACAAAGAAGGGGCATGGGGATGGGGCACATATGTGGGAACAGGACCTAGAAGAGGGTTTGGCAGTGTGAAGGGCTGGGAACCGAGAAGGAAAAGGTAGTCAACAACCCAGGAACAATTGCACCAATAGCCCCGTCCCCAGAAGAATTCTGACCTTTGCATCACAGCATATGCCTTTTGGGGGGAAGAGATGCTTTCTTGTATCTTGCCAAGGGTGCTGAGCTTGGTAGCTCAGCCGGGTAGCTAACAACCTAACAGTGTGACTTCGCGCTAAGATGTAGAAGGTGGTGCATGCATATTTAAAATTTGTATCTATTGCATTGACAAGCCACCGAACACTAGATGGGAAGACAGATTTCCGCTGAAGTTCAGCCAAAAACACTTTTTGGAACAACTGACAAAATAGTGCCATAAATGAATTAAATCCAGGGAGTTGCTGTGTATCTTCTTTTATGATGGCAGTCTCCTGCGAAAGTGCCGTGTACCGGCTGCTAATAAGCAATCACACACACGCGCGATATCTTGTAGCTAGGTATTTTCGGTTACACTTTTGAATCGGGGGCACTGTGCTGCCTGAGTACGTACTCAGTATGCTTTTGATGTCACCTGGAACAATACAGTTCACTCCTAATGCAGCTTACTATCACGAAGGTAGGTATTTTCTTAATGATTATAGGGCCCTCGAAATAAAATAACCACATGGTTGTATGTTTTAAAGTAGCCCAGTAGATAAAAAATTCCAAAATTTTGGAGATGATTTGGGTGATTTAAGTTCATAATAATTTTTTTTGCCAGCATAGGGATAAAACAGCTGAAGATTTTCATTACTGAGACCCCTGAGTCAGTTTAAAACTTGTTTCTGTGACCATGGGGAATGAATACTGCATTAGTGGTCCAGTGGTTGTCTCACCTCTTCCAGTACTCCTTAGAGTTCAGTCAGCTGTACCTGATTGGTGACATGAACAGCCTGTATCGGGTGACTGCCGAAGGGACTTAACACTATGAAATTTGATGCTCTTCTTAAATTAATTAATGTGGTGCTCTTCTTAAATTAAATTGTAGGCATTTTTTAAAAAGATTGCATTTATTTGAGAGAGAGAGAGAGAGCGCATGAGCGGGGGGCGGGGTGGGCGTGGAGGGAGAGGGAGAAGCAGGCTCCCACCTAAGCAGGGAGACCTACACTGGGCTGATCCCAGGCTTCCGGGATTCCCGGATTATGACCTGAGCCAAAGGCAGATGCTTAACTGACAGAGCCACCCAGGAGCCCCAAATTCTAGGCAGGTTTTTAAAAAAGATCTGGTCTGTACTCTGTCTTCTGGCTGCTCTGTATCCCTTCCCAAGTAGGTGTAGCCCTGTTCCTGGTTTACTGTAGGTGCATAGTAGAAACTTGTTCTTTTACAAAACAAAAATGTAACAGTGGGATGCTGCATTGGTATTTAAAATGACAGGACCAGATGTGAGGAAAGAAAAGATTCGCATTTTATAAAAATAACTTCAGCTGTCCATTGGAATAGTCTACCACTTTGTGTAATATTTCCTTAAGTTGTTCATTTTAAAAATTAATTTTAATTTTTTTATTTTAAGATTTTTATTTGAGAGAGAGAGAGCGAGCACCAGTGGGGGAGGGGCAGGGGAGAGGAAGAAGCAGGCTCCCCACTGAGCATGGAGCCCAATGCAGCTAGATCCCAGGACCCCAGGATCATGACCTGAGTGGAAGGCAGATGCTTAACCTACTGAGCCACCCAGGCACCTGGGTTTTTCATTTTTTTCATTTTTATTTTTATAAATATTAAATAAAAATAACCACCACCCAAAATGGTGTATTTTATTTGAAACATCAAAAAAAGTTAATGTAGTAACAGTTTTGTAACATTATGTAATAACATTTTATAATATAGTGGAATGCAGAAGTCACATCTGTCAAAGATAAGCAGAACTTAGTTAAGATGACAGGTAGAGGGGCGCCTGGGTGGCTCAGTCATTAAGCGTCTGCCTTCGGCTCAGGCCGTGATCCCAGGGTCGTGGGATTGAGTGCCACATTGGGCTCCCTGCTCCGCGGGAAGCCTGCTTCTCTCTCTCTTTCACTCGCCCTACTTGTATTCTCTCTCTCACTGTCTCTCTCTGTCAAATAAATAAATAAAAAACTTAAAAAAAAAAAAAAGACAGGTAGAAACGTGCAGGATGCCTGTTTCAAATACCCTCTCTTCTGCTATATGTAGTCATGTGCTTCCTTTAATTAATGAGACATTGTTAGGGTCAACCAAGCCCCGTCCTTTAGGCAATCCCTCTAAACTTCTTCTTTCTAGAATATAGTCCAAATAAAAGCAAATTGTCGCATTTAAAGTTTTATTCAACCTGAGGGATTCAGGACATGACACGACCTGATAAAGGAAGTTTTCTTCAAACTCACGGAAGGACAGCTAGAGAGTAGGGATCTAAAAGTGATGTTCAAAGTTCTTTTGATTTAGAGCAGTACCTAGTAAGCCTCTGTCAGCAGATTTCCTTAGTGGGATCTTCTGTCTGTTTGGAGGAGGCAGTGAGGGAATCAGATGTCAGTAGGACAATTGGAGGCTGGTTGGAGACACAGGGGACGTGTTTACTTTTTTATAGAGTGAAGCTTGACTTGTGCTTTGCATGTGTGCTCTTTGCAGAATCTGTGAAAGGAGTTTCTACAATGGTTTGCTCAGCTCTCAGGAGAGTTGCCCAGATGCATGTTTTCCTGGTGAGGAAGGCCAGTAGTGTCTCCAAAGGCCATCATCAGCAGGCCTTGGGCTCAAGACCTGCTGCTTCAGAGTTTGCTGCCCGAGGAGCTCCAGGTGGTGTGGTGGAGTTACTGGGCAAATCCTACCCTCAGGACGACTACAGCAACCTCTCCCAGAAAGTCCTCTCCAGGGTTGGCAGGAATCTGCACAATCAGCAGCATCACCCTCTCTGGCTGATCAAGGAGAGGGTGAAGGAGCACTTCTACAAGCAGTATGTGGGCCGCTTTAGGACTCCACTGTTCTCGGTCTACGAGGACCTTTCTCCAGTGGTCACCACCTGGCAGAACTTTGACAGCCTGCTCATCCCAGCTGACCACCCCAGCCGGAAGAAGGGAGACAACTATTACCTGAATGGGACTCACATGCTGCGAGCACACACGTCCGCACACCAGTGGGACCTGCTGCACGCTGGACTGGATGCCTTCCTGGTGGTGGGTGATGTCTATCGGCGCGACCAGATCGACTCCCAGCACTACCCAGTGTTCCACCAGTTGGAGGGTGTCCGACTCTTCTCTAAACACGAGGTGAGTGCTGAGACCATTCTTATCATTGATACATAGCGTGGACATTCTTGTTGAGGTCACTAAAGTTTATCTCAATGAAAGCAGTTGTCCTTGATCTCCTTTTGCATTTGTAAATTATACATGAGTACAGGCCGAGCCTCAATATTTTTTGATTGACTTGTTGTGTTCGTACCTACAGAAATGAGTGGGCCTTTGTTTTGCCTCGTCTGACCTTAGTCTTTCAATACTGACCTGCCTTTCTCTAGGTTTCTTCATATGAATGAATAGTCAGTGGCTCAAATTTATCCTCAGTCCATGATGTAACTTAAGATACAATGCTGAAACCTATGGTCAGGTTATCCCAGTTCTCAGTTAGTAAAAGTGAATTAGGTTTTCATGCTTTTAGAGGTTAATGAATTTCTTCTGCAGTAGAGGGGACTGGCAATTTATTGGCTTAGATTGGAAACTGTGTTCTGGTCCCAAGCTCTTCCCTTACCATCTCCTCCTTTACATTGGTAGGTGTTTTACATTTTTTTATTTGTGAGATGCCTTAGTTGTTGCTCTTCCTGAAGTGTATGTTTGGAGCTTAGAGGTTTTTGATCAGAGAATCTGATATTCTGGTTATTCTCAAAAGCCACCTTGCGTGTTTGTTAGCTGATATCATAATATACTGATTTACTAATTTTTTCTCTTTGGCAAATTATGAAAATCCCTAAAAGCTTGCGTCTATTTCCTAAAAACCTGCAATACCACTTGTCTTTCATTCATATATTTTTAAGTCTCTGTTTTTATGTAAGAAGCAAATGGAATAAAATGAGGCACAGGAAATATTTCACTTTACCCCTTTCGCACTTCTTCCACACATGTTCATCAAAACAGGAGGAACAGTTCCCTCCTGTGAACAGAAGCTACATGGGTTGTTGGACATGGAAAGGAATAGTATATGATCCCTAGGCCAAGAAGGAACCATTGTTTTGTTGTATTAAGTGAGCCACGTCGTATGAGACAACTGTTTGCCTCAGGATGTGCTGTTTTTCTGTGAGTCTGCGATCCTACAGCAGTAGGTGAGCTTTACATGCTAAGGCCATCCACGCTTGATCACATAGCTGCTTAAATGAGCATTCTTACTCCTTGGAATAGCTGGCTCTTTTCTAAATTAGGATTAACACTATTAATAAGGGTATGGGTTTATTAGGAAACGAAAAGGAAACGAACATAGACAGGTCAAAGTCTAGGAAATATGACCAAGTGATAGAATGTCACCTACAATTAATGAGCTGGAGGAGATGTATACTAGTGAGATGGTGGCCAGGTCACAGTAGCCGGCAGGTGCTCGGCCTGGCTTACCTCATTAAAAAAATGAGAAAGGAAAGTGCTCACTGATTTGTAAGCCTCAATGCCATGAAAGTGGCAGAGAAAGCTTTGAGACTTAACACTGGAATTTTAATGGAGGAAAAATCCAGGCTACCTTAGAAGGTAGAAAATAGGAAGAGGGATAGGAAAGTAATCTTTATCTTGTTTCATATTTGTTTGGGGTCCAGTCCAGTTTAGTCGTTAGCAGACATGGCTAATCTAGACTGATAATGTTACTGTATATTTTGCCTTATCATTAAAAAAATTATACACACACACACATAACTAATAATATAGTTTGATGAGGAATTCCATGTCCATTGTTTCATTTATTCCTCTTACTAAAACGCTTGTGAGATCAATTGTTTCCACCTCAACCATGAGGAATCTGAAGTCCCCGGAGGTTGCCCAAGGTTATCCACCCAGTTGGTGGCAGGGCTGAAACTTGAACTCAGGTCTTCTGAGTCCATTGCCCATTCTGCTGTATTCTGTTGCTTTCTAGGTAGCTGCTTTGTAAGTGGGACCTGCTTATGACCCAGGTGGAGCGTTAGTTTTAAGAATGGTGTTGGGGAGAGAGAGGTTTTTTTTTGTTGTTGTTGTTGATTTTGTTTATTTCTTTTTAAAGCCTGGTCTCAACTAAAGTGTTGGTACTAAGTCTGACCTAATCTTAACCATCAAAAAAATGTTTTTTCCTTCTTTCAGTTTATTCCCTTAGAACATGATTTTTCGGTAATTTTAATCATGTTACCGATGTAATTTAAAAATTATATTATCTTTAAAGTTCGGTTATTTAGTAATCTTTGTAATTATTGTTTCAATCACTATAAGGTGTATTTCAACAAGAAGAAAAGCAAATACAGAGGTCTGGGTAAAAGAAACAGGGATAAGCCTAGAAATGACTGAATTATGACAATATATATTTTAACTATTAATTGTGAAGAAAACCCTGTTTGTATTTCAAAAAAAGGTTAAATGTATCAGTACTCACAAATCTAAATGGGTTAAACTTACCAATTAAAGACATACATTACCAGAGTGGACATTTTTTAGTGAGAGAGACCTGAAACAAAACCATACCAGAGGTTGAAAATAAAGGGCAGGAAAAAGATATATCAAGCAAATACTTGCCAGAAGAAAGCTGGTACAGCAATATTAGTATTAAACAAAATAGAACTTGTGGCAAATTTGATAAATACGAATAAAGAGAGATAATATATCAACTACAATGCTTTATGAATCAGGAATTTTAATGTGCCCAACATCATAGCCATAATACATAAACCAAAACTGAAGAAATAAAAGTTTAATTTGACAAATTCATAATCATAGTAGAAGACTTTAAATGACCTCAGTCAAAAACCAATGGATTAAGAAGACAAAGTGAGTAAAGATATAGATAACCTGAAAACACGATTAACAGGCTTGAGTTATGGTTATTTTTAAAATTCTGTAACTAAAATAAAATAAAATTCTGTAACTATACAAATCCACACAGAAATTCTATACTCACAGTCGGAGGTATGTAGTCACATGGGATACTTAAAATAAGTTGTCCATGTACTAGTTGACAGCTGAAGTCTAAATAGATGTCAAAGAATCAATAACATAAATAGAACTGTGCTTGACTACAATGTGGTTTATGTAGAAAGCAGGAAGAAAGGATAATAAAAACTTTTCATGTCCTCAGACATTTAAAAATTCACAGTTACAGATTCATGGGATAAAGAGAAATATTACAGGGGCGCCTGGGTGGCTCAGTTGTTAAGCGTCTGCCTTCGGCTCAGGTCATGATCCCAGGGTCCTGGGATCAAGCCCCGCATCGGGCTCCCTGCTCGGCAGGAAGCCTGCTTCTCCCTCTCCCACTCCCCCTACTTGTGTTCCCTCTCTCGCTGTGTCTTTCTCTGCCAAATAACTAAATAAAAATCTTTAAAAAAAAAAAAAGAGAAATTTTATAGTAAATTGCAAATTACTTATTAACCAGCAAGGAAAATACTCTCTTCAAACTGCTCAGATGGGCGGGAAAATAGTCACTTTATTTTGTAGAAACTTGGTAGACCCCACTTAAATTGTGTGATCACAGTTAACATTAATAAAGCAAAATGTGTGGGATGGAGCTGAAGAGGTACTTGTAGTACATTTAGTTTAAATATATTTAGGAAAATTTTAAAACCCTGAAAAATCAATGAATTAAGTGTCATTTTAAGATGCTAAAGCAAACAACATTGTTCTAAAAATGTAGAAGGGAGGTGGGTTGTATAGTTTGTAATAGTCCCAAATCTTACAAAACAGATAGCAACTGGAATAGCAAAGCCCATCTCCGACATGGCTGGGTGACGAGGTCTCCCTAAGATCTTCACAAATGGTGGGAACTTACAACTGCCAGCTGCAAGCTCTGCACTGTGTCCGAAACCGAGGCTGTAGAGGGAACCGGTGAGGGCTGAGGGGAGGAGAGCTTCTGAGTCTCTCAGAGAACAAACTTCGGACAACCCAATTTACTCGCGGGCCTTTGACATTTAGTGCTAGTAATAACATTGCTCATCAGTGACCACCAACATCACAAAGACAGGGTCCAGGGCCAGACTTTCAGGTCTCCTGACGAAGAATACAGTGGCAGCTCTAAAGTCTTGCCAAAAAATTTGGACCTGACTCTGATCAGATCTCTAGATCCAGCTCCAAATTGACAGGTAGTACAGAAGACAGAGAAACATGCTAAACTATGCCATGGAGAATTAATAAGCAAAATCCAACCTGTGGGAAATGCAACAGCAATGCTAAGGGGCGCCTGGGTGGCTCAGTCATTGAGCGTCTGCCTTCGGCTCAGGTCATGATCCCAGGGTCCTGGGATCGAGCCCCGTGTTGGGTTCCCTGCTCCGCGGGAAGCCTGCTTCTCCCTCTCCCACTCCCACTCCCCCTGCTTGTGTTCCCTCTCTTGCTGTCTCTCTCTCTCTGTCAAATAAATAAATAAAATCTTTAAAAAAAAAAAGATGTGATGTGCATAATGAAATAAATAGAAAAATCAAAAGGAAGACCTTAGAAATGTTTAAGCAGCAGTGTTTAGAAATGTGTAAGCCATCATATTCAAGCACATTATCAGTGGAATTCCTTTGTGGAATAGCATATAAACTGGTTCCAGTGTTCTTCCATGCTCCTGGTGAGTTGCATGTGCTCAGTCTGTGTGGTAGTCATGCACAGTAAGACCATGTCTCAGTCTGAGACTGATGGGAAATCTTAAACTGTCCCTTCAATATTGGCAGCTTGAGAAGCACTGCTGTATAGGACAAATGATTCAATTTCATCAAGTAAACTGCAAGAAAAATAAAAGGGAAATACACCTATAGATTAAAAGAAAGATCAAGGAATCATAAAAAATCATTTGAGGCCATTAGGAATTTGAATGCTAACTGAATGTCTGAATTTAAGGAGTTTTTTATTTTTATTTTTTAAGGTATGATAGTGGTATTATATTTAGAAAGTCATTTTCCTTTAGATTTACATATTGAAATACCTGTGAGTGAAATGATCAGATGTCTGGTTTTCTTCAGAATAATATGGGGATAGGCATGTGGGGATGAATGGAAGAGGATTGGTCATGAATTGTTAATTATTGAAGCTGGGTTTTGGATACATGAGGGATCATTATCCTTTCTACTTTCGCGTGTGTTTGAAAT